AGTCAATACCTATTAGCAGGACGCCGTTAAGTGAGACTCCGTTACATTTTGCGGAAGAATCAAACACACCCCTAATCTGATCGGGTTTCTTCGGGTAATAGACACCAAACAATGGTAAATACCAGCACTCTTCGTTGTCGTCTAATGGTGGAGCAAGCTCTGCATGATTGTTGTCCAGAATCTTACTCATGAATGTGAGAAAGTGTTCCCGTTTTACTGGGTTCCTACTCAGACTGGCGTCTAACAGATTAGCACGATGAAGAGCTTGTTGTCTGTTACTTGGCAATGGCTGTCTTGGCACTCGGAACGGTAACTGTGCTACCCAACTTCCTTCCGAGTCCCTCATTAATTCGTTGTCCATCTGCTTCATGAACATTTTGTCTTCATGTGACATTCCAGGCTTATCATCGTTCCTTGTTTTTTCAAAGAGTGGCGATTGTAAATCTTTCTTTACAGGGTCTGTGAAATTTTCCCGGATGTTAATCTTGCTTGTGCATGGTTGAAAAGTTGACGGTTGTCCTGTAGGTAAAATGTTGGTTATTTTGACGTTTAGTTCATAGGGCACGTGCTGCTTGTTAATGCAAGTCTCTCCTATTACTGTAAATTCAGAAATTATTGCGTGCATTTATTATTGCGATTTTTAAAAAATGGACAAAAATGCGAGTTTAATTATTGCGATTTCAGCAAAATCTACATACAGATCTATGTTTTAGTTATCAAAATGCGAGTTCTTATTATTGCGATACTCATCTAGTCGCATTATTCGCATTAATAAAAACCTCGCAATAATTTCTGAATTTACAGTACTACCCAACCCAGTTTCAGTTGTTGTGCATATGGAGTTTTGGGTGGTCCTATACGCTGGTCAAGGACGTGGTGTGCCTCTATAAGGTCTCAGCCAATTAAGAGAAGAATTTGGCAATGTTCCTCTATTGGTGGAATGCTTCCTCTGAGTTCTTTTAAATGAGGGTGATGCATTGTGACTTCAGGAGTAGGAATTTCGTCCCTATTATTGGGAATATGATCACATTCTATCAGTCCAGGCAGGTCAAATTTGTCATTACCATTTATTGATTCCATGACGAAACCTCTGCCTCTTTTCCCGGAAGTGACTACTCTGCCGGAGCATGTTGATAAGGTATAGTTTTTCGGTTTATCTTTTACGTCGAAAAGATTGAAGAATTCGGGCGATGCTAGTGACCGGTTGCTTTGGTCATCAATGATGGCGTACATACGGATGACTTTGTCCTGGTTATCCTTGTGATAAACATTCACAGGTAGTATTTTAGCACAGGATTTCCCGCTATATGTATCCTTGCAGATCTCGGTACAGGTAGAATTAACTGAGGTTGACTTAGTTTCAGCCGATTCTGTTGGCTCCCCGCCGTAGGCTTGCTTGGGCGGGCTAGACTGAGAACTTGCAGGTTGCTGTGGTTTAGTGATGTGAAGTGCAGTAGTGTGTTGTTTACTTCCACATTCTTTACAACTTATGCGTGCATTGCATTCCCGGCTTCTGTGTGTGGTGGAATCGCAACTCTTGTAACAGACATTGTTTTGTTTCAAAAGACCTTTGCGTTCCTCAATTGATTTGGCTCGGAACGCTCGACATTCATTTAAGGAATGCTTTGTATTGTGCCGAATACAAAGACCTTGTTTGTTGGCGTCTCCAGATTGCTGCTCAACCGCTGTTTTATGAGCACCAACTTTAGTCTTGGGGTGAGACGTCAACCTAGGCGCAGCACCTTTTGTATTAGGTGTGGCTTTTGACCCAAAGATGAACCCAGGGTCGTTTTTAATTTTGCTAATTTCACTGATGAATGCAGTTAGCTCCGTAAAAGGCGGAAAGGCAACATCGTGGTTCGATTTATATCTAGATGCCCTAGTTATCCGCTTTTCTTGAAGTCCATAGGGTAGTTTTTCAATGATAGGGTTTATTCCAGACGGTGAGTCGAAATAAGCCAGCAGGCATCCCAGCTTAGGATTTTCCTTGTGATATTCTATTTCTGATAAAATATCAGACAGTTCATAGAGACGTGCATTGTCTTTATTTGTCAAGGTTGGAAAATTGACGAGTTTATTCGTGAGAGAAGCCTCCAACATTTCTGGAGCACCATACCGCTCGTCAAGCCTCTTCCATAATCTTTGTATGCCTTTTGTAGGATTATTTGCGTTCGACGCTCTTATGCTAATGGCATGTTTAGCAGACTCTGGCCCGAGCCACTTGCTCAATAGGTCTATCTGTTCAGAGTCAGAAACTTGTAATTCGTCTGTGACGTTTTTAAAGCTGGCTTTCCATGTATGGAAGGATTCTGCCCGGTCATTAAAGCTTGTTAGCCGGGAGAACAGCAGGTCCTTGCGTAGGAGAAATCTGGTTATCTCCGACGTAGGGTTGATTTGTTGCTGTCGTGCAACAGGGATCTCTTCTGCAACACCCTGTTTTTGGTGTTCAGCAAGGATCTCCTCTGAAACGCCTAGTTTTTGGTATGCAACAGGGATCTCTTCTGAAACGCCCTGTTTTCCTATGCAAGTTATTGTTCCCAGATCTGGGAATACATTAACTTCCGGTGACTTAGCATGTGTAGGCAAGACTGCAGGTGTCTGTGATGGCAGGTTCAATGCCACGGAGGGCCCGAAGTCTGGCGCTTCATGACTTAGCTCAATCTTAACAGACGTTTGTTTTTTCTGTTGAGAGGCTGTCACTTCCTGTATGGCAGTTGGTTCAGGATGTTTATTAACAAAGTCTTGCACACGTTGGAGCGGGTCTTCCGTCTCGTCAGGGAGATCGTCTAGCGCTTGGCTGTCATCGTACTCTAGGATACGAGCCTCGGCATCTGCGGCTGAAGCTTCTTTCTGTGCTTCTAGAAGGTTCAAATTGGCCTTTAGTTCAGCTCTTTCCCGGCTTACACGCGCAGTCTCTTGTTCCAATTGAGCTTTCCTGCGTATTTCGTGAGCTTTTCTTTGAGCGGCTTCCTGTTCTAATTGAGCTTTTCTTTGAGCGGCCTCCTGTTCTGCTCGGATGGCTTCTTCCTCCATTTCGGCTTTGACTTCCGTTTGTATGAACAGAGCTTGTACTCCTAATAAGGCCTCCTGTTTAAGGATCAGGGTATGTTTTTCGGCAAAGGCAATTTTAGACTTAGCAGCCTCTGCTTTGGCACGCTTCCTCTGTGCTAGGCTTGACATATCAGAGACGTTTGAGCTCCCACTGTGCGATGTTTTCTTGCCCTTAGATGTCTTTGTTTTTGTAGATTTAGCCTTTGTCAGGGTGAGGTAATGCTCGTGTAATGTTTCAATTGCCAGGTTCACTTTTGACAGTCGAATATCTGTTGAAAGATTACAAGTATCAATGTCTTTAAGACTGTCCAACGTTCTGGTATTTTTTAGAAATTTCAGGTACTCGTCTGTGAGCCTGCGATAATTAGTACAGGCTTGTACAATTTTGTCCTGTGCTGTTAGCAGTTGCTGGAGTTCGTTAGGAGGCGTGGTCACTTCCAAAAACTGGAATTCTAGATCTGACCAGAGGGCCTCTAGCTCCTGACAGAACTTGTCACGTTTCTCTGTGAATGCCCCATGACCCCTTTCCGTGAGGTCACGTATTCGCCTAGTCTCGGGTTTTTCATCTTAATGTGTGGTTTCAGACGGATTTTCTAGTAGTTCTTCACTAGCGTCACCCTCTGGGGGCTGAACCTCGTCTTGCTGTTCCGCGTGACTGGGATCCATGATGTAAATCAACTTACTGTAGGCAATGTTTCTTCAACGTTGTTGGTTTGCTGCCTATGACACACAAGCTGTGTTGCGTAGTGTCAATGTAACAGCTACGAACGATGCTCCGTTGTATTTCCTGTTCAGGAGATGTGTAGACAAGTTGTTGTCAATTTACTATGCTGAGCCGGACTCAACTAGTTTAACTAGGTGACTGAATCGCAATCTCGGCGAATATATAAAGAACACAAACTTGTTTGGAAATTGTAATTATAATATTCCACCAGAAAGGTAATACAGTAGTCAGTAGATTGTTTGGTAAATTGACAGTGATATGTCTCGATTTTATTCAGAAAATTAAATGTCGTCCATGTTACATGTGTTGAAATATTGAAGCAGACGGTGTCACAGAAATTAAAGGCAGTCAATACATACGGTGATGTAAGAAATCGGTCCAGTGCGATTTGTTCCGGAAGATTATGAAAACAAATAGTAAACATTGAATGTGAAACAGAGTATGGGTTATATATTGTGCTACTGTCTGTATTTAAGTCGACTAAATGATCCCTCTTATGGTTATTTTACAGTTAATATCTTAATTGCACATGTTTGACAGCTATCATATATAGAAAGGGCATTGGACACTAAAATCAGCTTGTAGAAATGTTTTACAATCGTTTTCATTTAACATACATTTGTTAACAAAATTTACATGCGCATATTTTACAAACTCAAAAAATAAAATTGTGCGCATGTATATTTTGTGAAAGTTCTAAATTTGATGGACATATTTAGAAAAAAAACATCTTCAACAATGTTTAATATTATAAATAAAAAAGCACAGACTTTGGTTATAGACTGTTCTACTGTCTGTATTTTAGTCGACTAAATGATCCTTCATACGCTTTTTTTTAAGTTAATTTCTTATTATCAAATGTTTGACAGTCACTATTAGTTAATTGATTTTGCATCTTCTTTTGCTTGGTTGTCTGTGTCCTTCAGTCGTTGATGGTAATTTCTCCTCAGTGAAGCTTGAGGACAAAATATTTTAAAATTACAAAATCTAATACAAACGGCGAAGAGCTGAAAAATTAGAAATGACCAAACGTATTTAGAAAAACTAAGACAAGGAAGCAGAGTTTTGCAAGATAAAATATTGAAATTCAAACTTTGAAACTTGTTTGAATCTTTTTTAAACATCTTCAAGCATGACACTTCTTCGTAAATTGTGACGCCCATATATGCTTTTAAATATTTATTCTTATTATATGTGTTTATATTTATATTTTTTCTATTTATAGAGTATAATATTCCATGTGGAACGACATCCAATTTTTACTTGGTATACACAGTGTGTGACATTTGGATTTTTTCCGACGCCAAGACATGAGCTAGCTTACAACTTGTTTAATCTTATCACAGTTTATGTTACACCTTTGATAATCATCACTACATCTTACTGTTTGATACTTCATAAAATATCAAAGAATGCAAAGCTAGCTAAAGGTATGTCATATCTATTTTCTTATTTGTGATTTGTCATATAAATGCAAACACACTGTTCAAAATTATTCTAGAACTTACATTAAATTTTTTGTACTGAATGGGACATTTATTCTAAGTTTGAACTGTAAATAACGTGATATAAAATGCTTGATCTAAATATAGACTGGAAAAAAACGAGACAGACGATACCAAAAGGAATTTTTTTTCCAACAATCATATTTACGGATACAAGAAAATTACAACTAGGTCTTATCTAATTGTGACATACTGCCAATGTGTTCCTTTACATTTTGGATAATAGAATTACCAAATTGCCTTAACAAAAGGCTCATTCTTAGTTTGAAACTTCTACTATGACATCAGGTAAAGGACAGCTCCTGACGTACTTTCAAAAAGTCGACTTAAGTAGTGGTGTGAATTTGATGAAGATTGATAAAAGTCTAAAGATTAATTTGAATTTACCAAATCTTAAAATACATCTTTCTATAGTACTGTTAAAACTATTTTGATTTTTCTGAACGCCGCATTTGTAAAAGCGAAATAACACTTTACATGTTTAGTACAAATACATTGATTAAAATTTATAAAAAAACTTTCAAGTTACCCAGCGGTAATAAGTAAACACGAACTCAAGAACGATAAACAACACAGACCAAAACACAAAAACTAAACATTGAGGTATGAATTCAAGGTCTGGAAGTGTCCTCATATAACCAGGAAATGCAAGTAGTTACTGCTCTAAATACGACACCGGTCGTGTTTCTAATGTTACAATACTATTTTAATTTTCAAGCATTACTGAACAGACATTGATTGTCGAAATTATCAGCATATGCAGTAAAATTTGTACCGCTAATGTTATTGCAGACTATTGACTCTAATAGAAAGAAAATCAGGCTTTTATAAATGATTCCTGGTTGGAAAAGGATGTCTCTTCATACTAATTTGAATGTATGAGAAGAGATAACTGATCAACTATATGAACGATTTAGAAGAAATCCATGATATATATTTGAAAATGTATTTCCCTGTAATGTATTGTGATCTATGGATATGCCAGACAATAATTGTAAGAGTATGAAAGGAAAATCAATATTTATGACAGTACTTCCTAAATATCATGGAAAAAATGAAAAAAATGAGAAGGAAGCAGTCTAAAATACGACAGGCCAAGGAGAAACAAAATATGGTGACGTTTGTTAACATTTTACACTGACGCCTACAACCTTACCATAAGGCAGACTGGATAAATGTATTACTTGTCACAACAACTGGCAAAATATTTAACAAGAAGCCTTTTTCAAAATAATAAAATTGAAAATGGAAATGGGGAATGTGTCAAAGAGACAACAACCCGACCATAGAGCAGACTATAGTATGCTTCACTGATGATTATACTTTAGACATCTGTTTACCAATTAGATTAGATAATTATAAAAAAAGAGAATACAACAGAAAGATATAAATTTAACATAAAATCAACTTTGATCTTTTGGCTCAATCAGCTATGCCAGCGGATAGCAATTAGTTCATACATTGAAATGCGGTTATGAGAAGTTCCAAAGGTTCATCAATAGTTCATCATATCTAATCCCAACAGGGGAAGCAGTCAAAGCTGGTTATTTCAAACCAATGACGATGATGTTTTTCTCAACTCTGTAATATATCAAAAAGTAATTTAGAATCTAATTAATGGCACACTGTGCCCGAGTTTTAAACAAAATATCGGTCATATGGTCAAATATAAGTATAAACTCGTATACCAGATGTAGTACATTTTCTGATATGATAACAGTTAAAAATTAAATTATTCATCCTTTCATTATATAAATGAATTTTTATGATAACAAAATATCTTGGTTACTATAAGGCAAAAATGACATTTATGAAATTACTGTGACGTAAAGAAAGCGTCAAAGATGACATTGCCGATCTACAAGTGTTATTTCACACTAGGTTTTAGTGTAGCAACCTGACCAACAACGGTGTTAAATCACATCAACATCTTTGAATAAGATATCTTTTTTGTAGCAAATTTTTTTCTTCATAAAACTATGTTCATGTCTGGATTGATTGATTGATTGGTTGGTTGGTGTTAAACGCCACTGTTAGCACGATTGCGCTATCTAGTGGCGGTCAATTTTCATTGGTGGAGGAAGCCGGAGAAAACTTCGACAATCGGTAGGAATACTGACAATCCTAGTCAATTAAGATTGGAGTCGAACGCACATGCCACGTGCCGGATTCGAACTCAGAACCTCAGTTTTGACAGGCTAGGGATACAGTATTTCGACTACTTTGACCACTCGGTCACCAAGGCCCCTTAATGTCTGGATACTAATGCCTTGGCTCAAAATGAGGCTATTATGACAATTAATTACTGTCTACCCTTATTTAAAAACATTCAGAGACCAATTTTGATCTGAAACGGTTATTTTTATATGAACAGCTCGTAAAAAGTTGAACAATATATCATTCAGTCATTTTCAGTCTTTCGGTCAATTTTCAGATCTATCAGACAATTCGTTTGCTGTCAGTTAATATCTGTTCAATTTATGTTCAGACTTTTCCGTAGGTATTATTTATATGTACACATGAACATTATACTTAAGTGTCTGAAGAAACTACTGTACCTGACTGAATCGACTGCAAGTGAATGGTCTGAACAGTGTTGAGTTTAACAAATTGGATATTCTGAAAATTGACCGAAAGACTAAATATGACTGAATAATTGTTCAGACTTATTATATGATGTTAAGATCAAAATGACAGATCCAGATCAAAATCGGTTTACTATTTATCAATTAGTAATAATACTGAGATTTTCTTTTAGTGTCTTCTTTTATTTAAGAATGCATTTGGACAAATATTTGCACCATCATTCATTCTCTAATTGTACATAATGCTAATGATTCAATATTGATAAACTTATCAGTCATACTCACCACTGTTTCTTATCTTACTTAAATAATTATTCTTTCATGTCATGCTCTTTGCTCATTTCAATATTAGTAGGAACTGTATTTGTCAATATCTTTTCATTCGGGGTAAGAGTATGACATGAGAGATATATTCCGAATCAAACAAGTTCTTGTTTTCTTTGTTGTTCAAAGCGGATCAAAAAGACACGTTTTAAAGGCTACCTTGTGATTTGACGAAGCAAAAACAATTATGAAAACCAACCGTTTCACGATTCAGTAGTTTACAAATGCATATAGACATTCTTTTCAAAACATTTTATTTTTTGTCGTAGAGAGCAACACCAACAATCATTATAAAAATAAGGAGATGTGGTGTGCTTGCCAATGAGACAACTATCCACCAAAATTCAAATGAAGTGAATGTCAGCAATTATAGGCAACCGTACGGCCTTCAACAATGAGAAAACCCCATACCATATGTTCATTTTGACCTCCGTTATCGTTCAATATGTAGCGTCAGTTTAATTGTGACGTCAAGGAGGTATATATATAAATTATATATTTCAAAACAAAAGAAGAGCCGCATATTAGAAATATCATTTAGACTTATAACCACAATGTAAAATAACATTAATTTATCAATTCAAGTAGGTCTGATCCATTGCAAACAGGTTATTTGCCATCGACAATTTACTTTATTAATTACTCCAATATTTAATCAAATACATTTCACCAGAATTTACAGTTCATGTTTTTGTTGTAAATTTACTTGAGTAAAAAATTCATTTCCGTTAGATAAAGTTTTATCCTATTGATGATGTTTCGTCTTAAGTGATTTGTGTGTATCCCACTAATCCAATTTCTTCTCACTAGCGTGGTTCATTAATCATGGAGTAATGTTGATAGAGATGGCTTCCTCTGTAATAAAGTATTATCTCTTTCCCGTTTATCTTATATTTATATCTGATGCGTTAATGAAATGAAGCTAGAAACGAGGAAACCAATTTGCACTCAAACTGTTGACATACATGACTTTCAATGATTTTTGTATCGTTGGGCTGTTGTCTCATTGACACATACATTAGAAATTCTTTAACTAGTATTTAATCTGCAAATCAATAATTATAACATGTAAGTTTGGTCCTTACCAATTGTATTTTAACTTGGATTTAATCAGGAATAGATTTTTCACAAAATGACGCATTTTATTATAGAAAATTAGAAAATACCAAGGAAAACTTGTCTGCACTCACATTGTATCGATGAGAACTGGATGTTGACCTGAATATGTCTTAACTGGTTAGCTTCTGTTGAACAGTTCGTCTCATTGACATTCATTCACTTTATTAATGTTTAAAAATTACGTAAGAACAAATGTGTTTCAAAATTTCTTAAACAAAAACAGGAAGACGGGATTGGGGTTACGACAAATCTTGTATACTGTTGCTACAAGAAGGAACTTATATTGTTTGTACTCTAATACATCCTTGGACTGTTATATTTTTTCAACTGATTTTTTTAGCTTTCAAGGTTAAAACAAAACTTGGGAAACTGCATGAACTCCAATTTGAGTGAGACCGAGTTCGTTGACAGAAGCATCTATTGCTATACATGCATAATTGGCCAATCGAATCGATTTCAGTTGTTTTTCCTCATAATCTTGTTGGAGCCGTTTTTATGTCAGGAGCAAACGCCCTGTTTATGAAATCCGTATAGTGTGAACATGTACTGCGTAACGTACTAAATGAGATGTGTATACGACAAACGATGAAGCAGAGGGTATGTTGCTGCTGAGATATAGGAAGGTGACAATTTTGAAATTTCAATATTGAGGAAAAAATCAAGATATGTGCATAATAAGATATAATAAGTTAGCAATGAAAATCTATCTCAATTTTCAATTTTCAGAGGATTGCCTTGAATATGGTGAATTTAAATATAGATGTCATACGTTTCCAGCTCATCACTGTGCCAGAGCAGGAAAAATAGGAAAAGCAAGAATACGCACATTGAAAATGACGTTGGTAATAGGTATGTTTAATACAATATCATGGAAAAAGTATCCTATAGTTACCATCAAACATATATTAAACGATATCATTTATTCTGTTTAGATAAAAACAATACAATTAGTATGCTATTAGTTTGTAAGTTGAAAGCACAAATAACGAGAAAAACTGTCGAATAAACATAGTTCGAGGTCATAAGGTAATCAAATACCTTTACTTCAAAAGGACAGACAAAATACCCAGGTCATGATGAGTCAACGACATAAAACATCAAACCATGGAAATATGGAACGAATAACAATTTGATCTATATTAGCAACAAGTACTGGACCAATTTCCGTTCTGCATAAGCTATATTTTATAACTCTATATCCCTATGTGTACACGGGCCAATAGGAAAATTTAGTTTATGACAGATGTTGTGGAATGTTTTGAAAGATTGACGGCTAAGGCAGTGACAGTCGACTAGGCGAACTTATTTCATGTATTAACTAGAAAATACACATATAATGTATTGTTTACATGACCAAATAGCTACACCATTAGAAATTATATTGAAAACATAAAATGAAATCATGTAAAGCGTTATATGTATCTTTATTTCCGTAACTAAAACATTTACAAGTAAATTACTTATTCTGCAGGCAATTCGTATCTCTGCTTCATTACGTTTTACTTATAGAAACATAATGAGTTACAGACTTAGTCTGACTATATCTAATGATCACAAAAGTCACTCTTCAGTCTGTGTCACATAAAACTAAACTTGCCATTCATCTAAGCTCTATTTATATTACCAGCGACACGCATATGAATCAAACATGAAGCAACAATAGGAAGGGTAAAATAAATGGCCTGAACTGTGAGGTTATACAAAAATACAAAAAGGGTGTGTTTTCGGTAAAAAGTCAGCAAAACAATGACATAAATACCAGAAGATATCTAGGGGCCAACAAACGTTCTTCTTCAATAGACAGGTTTCAACACAATAGGCCAAGAGTCTGTAATAGAAGTGAATACATTAGGACAAACTATCAAACATCTGCTACTAACACCAAATACTCAGAATAACAACATACATTTGTAGAATACTTAAAACACTGACGAGGTTGCTGACATGAGAGAGGCACACGTTTTTGTGCGGGGTTAAATTAAGAGCAACAGGAGTTTAGGGTGTTCAAATCTTATTAAACCATTTAAATATACAGATCAAGATACAAAAAGTGTGAGTAATTGAGGGACAAAACAAAATCATACATATGAAAAAGAAATTAAAAAACATTGTGAGATGCTGTTCCTGTAAGTCTTTGAGATGGGTTTTCATGCATTCTTCTTTATGTGATTAAACAAGACAAGTTGGAGAGTAAGGGTACCCGATTATAACCCACTAAAATATCGACTGTTTGTTGAAATATTGATTCACCTAACTCAACTAATATGTTGTCGATCAAAAGGTCTATTATTTTGATGATATTGTCATGTCGTTGGAATCAGTTTAGTTCTGACGAGAGGTACACAAAAAGTATACAATAAACATCAGTACACGAAAATACTATATTATAACAGTTAAGTTGATTAAAAAAACATCTGGGCGAATATTGGTTATTGATTAGTTGAAATTGCTTTGAACTAGGTTTTATTAAATGCGAATACTGTTAGATAGGTACTTTGTGTCTTTAGTCTCTGTTATTTGTTTTGTGCTTTGTACCGTTCAGATAAGATAAGCCCCATCCAACTGATTGCAGCACTTTGTTCCTATGTTGTTTTACTACACTGTCTTAGGTTTAGAATGATTAGGCGCTCATAAATATTAAAATTATTTCACCCCGTTACATTCTTTATGTGCTTGTCTCGAGTACCGAACATTTAAATCCGCGGATGACGTTAGTTGCTGTCTTACATGACTGTTTTGTATTTCAATTTCATAGTATACAACCCTAAGAATACAGTCATGGTCCTTCGATTTTGGTTGTCTACTAAATTAAATATAGTCCCTAGTTTGGACAGTTTCATACTTGGATTTTTTTTGTACACCTTCCCAATTTATTTCTTCATGGTTAATGCCTCAAATAGCAAGTAGAAGAATGAAATTACACTGTAAAAAAATTTGGGTCATGCATTTTAAAGTGAAATAGTGATTTGGTCCTGTTAGAAAAACGGTCACAAATTAGAATATCTCAACGCTGTCAAACATTATTTAAGACCCCTTAACACAAAATTGTCCACATCTTGAGTTAAAGCTGATGAAGTTTTCTATAACTTTGATATCATTAGTCCCAAATGTAGTACACCACACTGTAAAATTTATTATTGAGAAAGCACAAAAGCGATTTTTTATTTTTAGATTTATTGTGTTAAAGAAATGCACTATGAAATAACTGTGTTCTATGGCCATACACTAGGCCGTTGATTTGTTTTCTCTTTTGAACTGTTTCACATAGCCTTTTAAAGCATCCCATCTGATATTGGGTCTGCTTATTACTGAAGGCCGTACGGTGATTTGTCACACCTGATCACACCTTTGTAATTTGTTCTTTATTGGTAGTGTACGGAGATGTGGTATGATTGCGAATCCAGCAAACACCAAAATGATGTGGATTTAACCAATTATAGGTCACCGTATGACCGTCAACAATGGACAAAACCTATACCACGTCCCAACATGACAATTTGTGTAGCACTTCAACGAGAAAATCAACACCTTGCTAATGAAAAACAAATATGACAGACAGCATATAAAGACAAATTCTTAATTAAAGGCTCCTGACGTTTAGTTCTATTATGTTAAAATAATCTCATTGCATTATAGAATATATTCATTTTCATCACTTAACAAGACGAATTAACTTAGGTATGTTAATTTTAAGATTTAATTGATCAAAAAGTATAATGGCAATTGGAATTTCGATTACTATGGTAAAAAATTAAAAGATACCCGATGATGCGCCAACTACAGATATAAATCGCTATCATCTAACAATTCACTTCTTTTTGTTTGTTTGTATATTTTAGTTACTGTATTTATCCTGTGTTGGACACCTTATTTCTTTATGGCTGCATGGTGGTGGATAGATAAGTAAGTTCCATTTTAGCTATTTGATAAGTTTACATCTATAAACATAAGATAATAAGACTTAGATTTTGGATCGGAATGTTTATTTGTTTATTTCGAATGCCATAATGAAACCAACAATTAAAACTAAAACGAGTGTCGAAAATTAATGACTTAGATAAAAGAAATATAAAAAAAGACATTCGTACGATAAAACAACTCCAACCTTTTAGCGACAAGTGGCAAGACAGACTACATTTATCTGGTATATGTTGGGCAGCACAAACTCTCATGAAAAGCCAGGATACATGTACCAGTTAATCTGGAAGAACATAAAAAACCGTGAATCTGTATTTGTTTATTTGTTTCATGATCGGTTAACAGATGAATCACATGAATCATTGTTTTCAAGTATTATCAAAGTATTAATATGATTACAAAGTTCTCATTTAACGACTGATGTCGGAAGCGCTTTTCTGTGTTTACCTTCATAAGCAACGGTCAAAACTGAATATTTGAAAGCCAATAATGTTTAAGAACCGAACCAGTTGTAGAGCTATATGACTAAAAATGACATACTAGCCAAATATTAGCCAAAATCCATCTAAGGTCATCTTGGCTTGATGGAGATAAACTTTAGTTTCTTGATAATTTATAAATTTATAAACTGACAATTTAAGGAAGGTTTGTTATAAATCATGTTAGTACCGAAGTACTGACTACTGAACTATTGATTCCCTCTAAGTGTGTTGCTTTTATACTATTGTGTCTTCCTGTTAATTCTTTTTATCTAATCTAAATGTGTCTAATGTACATTTTTTTCTTTCTGCAATTATTGATTTACATAACTATTTATTCATAATAACTCATTGCATCAGGAAATGTTGATATCAAATTAATATTTGTCAGGAAATGCTTGCACTCTGTATCGTCACAAAGTCATGTGGTGGTCTTTTCAGTTGTTGATCATGTTCCTAGTCAATGATTGCATTCAACTGTTCTGTTAATATCGAATTGAATGTGATATAATCTTAGAATTTTGAATGATGAAGTTATATTTACTGAAAACTCACATTTCTGTCTTTTAAGACGTTAATGGAAAGATCAAAATTTAAAAAATTATTATGTATACAACTTTATGTGAATAAATGATAAGGGGTTTATGTAAACGAAACAAATACAACTCAAAACACATCAAATCTCAACATTTGAATACAGTATATATGATCTTCATGAATATGATATATACAACTGTTTTCTCAATGTGCTAAGCCCAAAGTCTACTTGACTCTAAACATAATTTCACAGAGACAAATAAAGATCTGCCAACGACACCTGCAATGTAATTTACTAAAGGACAAAGTACGTCATTGTATAAAAAATACAACCACTATTTTTTTAACCGATTTTGGGGTAATTTTTTCATCGGAAATACTACATTCATCTTAACGGACTTCAATCTGGCAATCAATATTGTGAATGGAGTAAAAAAGGACACACTTTTAGCATTTATCACACACAAATTTCAAACATTCTTCCATATAAAATTAAGGAGATGTGGAATGATTGCCAATGATACGACTATCCACCAGAGTTCAAATGAGATCACCGTACGGCCTTCAACAATGTGAAACCCCATACCGCATAGTCAGCTGTAAAAGGCCTCGAAAACAAAAATAAATACATGAAAAGTTTAAAACAATTCAAATGAGAAAACTAACAGCCTAAAATTTATAACAATACAATGAACGAAATACGAAATTTATATGACAGACATAAACTAACGACAATCACTGATTTGCATGCTACTGACTTGGGACAGACACATTTGTTTGGGTTTTTTATGTTAATTTTATATCTGTAGTTGATCCAACAAATCTGGCAACTTAACTGCAAAAATGTAAAGCTTTATGTTACAACCAGGTCATCAAATTTATAATCTGCCCTTTTTACGAAAAATCGAAATTTCTATACATTCTTGTTATTGTTGAAACATTTACTAAGTATATTAAAGTCGTATCCAAAAACATATTTATTACCATTTCATTATTTTTGAAAACCATCTGACATTCGAAAAAGGTGTGTAATGTAGATGTGAAATAAGAAAACAATGTAATTGCGAATGTTCCAACCAAGTTTGATACGTTAAATCAAATATATATGATTTTAAGCGGATATGTGAATAGCATCGTTGGTGCATATATCTCACAGAGGGAGAATTAAATGAGTCTTTTTTAATTTTTTTTTTTTTTTTTTAAATTCAATAAGCTAAACCAAATGATACTTATCATGCGTTCTTCCTTTAATGACGTTACGTAATCGAGAAATTTGGCATTTGCTGTTTACTTTATTAGACTTTAATGGAGTTAAGATATAAGGGATAGTGAAGTTTTTTTTTTAATCTCTATGGGAAGATTATTTATCGAATGTTCATGAATATTCGATATTAGTTTAAAAATACGACTTTTTGTATTCGTGATATATAGGACTTATATTGCACAGTTTCAGTATTTGATTTACATTCTGACAATAGCCACATTGACATCAAAACGATGAGTATTGCCAGTTGTCAGTCTGGTGATTGACAAAGTTAGTAATTGGTTTTTGTTCTGTTTGTGTCGGATGTATTGCATTATCTAAACCGATTTCAACAGAGAAATTAGTATTCTATTTGTTTTATCATAAAGTTCTGGAAATGCTGTGCTTCAATAGCTGTCTGGGTTGCTGGTTAACCTTATTCTAATATCTCTTCTTGCAAAGTCATTTGACGCTATATTACTACGACACCAATATATTCAAATTATAAATTATGAATTATAAAACTATCAGCATCTAGTTCAACTTTGTAATTAAATATATAAACTAATCACCGAATATGGAAACCTGAAACTAAAAAACAAAATTGGAAAATGTTTCTTATAAAAGGTAATTATAGAATGAACAAAAAACTGAAAATAAACACAATTAGGGATCGAAAAACGCTCAGCACTTCACACAAGTTCATACTGCATAAACGATTGAGCGGGTTTTTTTTTTAATCACGAGCTGTAGACTTTTACTTTATTACATTAACCCTGGTGAAAATATAACTCGGCCTTGCAAATAATGAAATTTGAAGAGTAAAACAATCAAAAAAACATTTTGATGGTATTTATTGGTATGATATCGTTACAGGTCGAGAACCAGTTACCGTTAGAAATTCACAGTTTTCTCAAATAGGAACTGTTTTGTGAAATATTCTTTAAACATAAAACGGGTTACCAAAAGTTAGGTGTAAAACTATAAATTCAGACTTCAATTCCTCTTATAAACAACGAAAACACGGGTTATTACTATGCCGATTTCTGCAGGAAATATTATAGGTACGATGACCAGTTACCGTCACTTTTGAATCTTGTCTTAATAATTTCATTTCGTGTAGCAATAAGAGAAGAATGTACGTCAATTGAACCAAACACATCACCATTCTGACAATTAATTTGGAAGATTTAGAACCCCCCATCCCCCTTCCTGTTCAGAAAGTGAACTTTATGTCACTTGAAATCAACAGCTTACACTGTTTTGAAGAGAATAGACTTTAATTTTGAAATTTATGAATATTTTAAATTCTTTTTAAAGAAATTTTATGTTTTAAAGCAAGAAAATTGAATATTAGTCAGTCTTAAAACGATGAATTTTCAAAAATAGAGAACAGCATAATGCGATGACGTCATGTCCCCCACACGCGGATCTTCCCCCGACTCGTTTAATTTAAAGAAAATTCGGCTAACTTACTCGGATAGAAAAACAGAGTTTTACAAATGAAGTAAAAATATTTGTCTGAAGATATCAGCAGTTTTTATGCAACGTCTCCATTATTGAATAAAATGGTAGTTGATAACTTACGGAAACTTGTAACACAAATCAGTACTCTTTTTTCTCTAAAGTTCATATCTACCGAAATAAAGAAAGAATACTTAAACTGTAAAATCAATCAGTAAAAATATCATGATTTCTTCAACCGAAAAAAAATTGTATTTCACAGAGAATTTGAGATAATTACGCAAATGACTTTTATATATTCAGAATGATTTAAAACTTCTAAAGTAATAAAAATAAACTGTCGCCTGAAATCAGAATCCAATTATAATACGATCACCGTTAAATTGCAATATCAAAAACTTTCTAATAAAGCATTAGATGTTAATAGATGTTAGATATTTACAATTATATAGACTTTGAACAATTTAGAGCCTGACATATTGTATAGACATCTATTTATGATAGAACACTGAATGTTTCCCTCTGGATGTATTGTCGTTATGTTTTTAGTTGTGATGCTGTATCATTGACGTCTCCTCCACAATTCCATTCATTCATTTATAATAATTTCATTTCATGTACAAATCCTTATTCAATATATAATTGCCCAAAAATCATCAATCAAATATGGTTTTTAATCATTCGACTATGCAAGATGACTTTTAGTTGCAGGCACTGAGATTAAGGATGAAGACATGTTGACTTTGTATTATAACTTTGACCACATATGAATCTTGTTATTAAAAATCATCATATCATGTTCTCCTGCTAGCAATCTAATTCGGTTCTTTTTGTTATATGTGCTCAATATTTATTTTGTAAGCAATGGTTATAGTTTCCTTAAAATTGTAATTCCATTTGTGATTGAAGAATCACAGGAGGGCATTCTAATGAGGAAATGCATGACTTATTTCATAAATAGTTTTTAACATTGTCCTGCAGGCTACTAACCTTGTTACATTGTGTGTACTACTTACTGTGTGTTTCTGAATATCTCTTTTTTTTCAGGCATTCCGCACAGGCTATCAACCCAAAGGTACAAAGAGGATTGTTTATATTTGCTGTGTCCAATTCTTGTATAGATCCTATTGTATATGGTATGTTAAATGAAGTTTACATCATAAGTAATTTGATGCTTAACTAACTGTTTAACGAATGTTACTCATTTTACATATTTTGTAGCTACAACTTAAAACAAATATTTCCCTGATGGTTGCTACACTTTTCCGATAAAACAATGATAACTTGGTGATTAAATATCAATTACCAAGTAATAAATTTGTGTTATTGTAATATCAAATATGAATGCATTTCTTTCACTATGTATTGTTTTTATTATCAACTTGCAATATCTATTGTAGGTATGTTCACAACAGCGTTTAGACGTGAAGCACGGAAATGGAGGGGCTGGTTTAAGAGACGACTTAGTGAAATGGGCTTGTATACGTTAACACCAAATACTGCAATTGCACAGGAGTTCTTCAGATGAATCGAATAACATTCTTGTGATATATGCCATAAGTGTCTTACGCAGAGGTCTGATGATTAATCATCAATTGTTTACTTAAGATAAAGAGTAAACGATTCTGTACATTTTCTTACATGAGTATAAATTTAATGCTTATTTGAACAAGAAGCAATTTAATGGGATGTATCAATATTTTATATGTACAGCATTACACAAACATTATACCCAATTACAAGAATTGCATTCTTAATTTGAAAAACAATCGTTTGTTTTATATTTTGACTTTTTCTGACGCATATGCGTGTTATGTTGAGCAATGTAAGAATCTCCTACGATGATAATACATCCATCATGCATTCCAGTATTGGATAAGTAAAGTAACAGATCTCTTGTAACGAAGGAATTTAAAGAAATGTTTATTAACATTTAGTTAATGTTTCGTCTTCAATTTACAGTGAAGTGATACAACCTACAAAACAATTGTTATATGGTTACTGTTGGCATAATATATACATTACTATATAACTGGTAAAATTGATGTCGAATATGCAATTTTTGCTGCACACTTCTGATTTTACTTTCATCAGGGTCACTCAAACTGAAAAAAATGAAACACTTAAAAAAGATAAATAAATGAGAGGGTGCATAACCAAATTGTTGTCCTGAAAATAAAGACAACTCAATAGTTATCAACAATCGGATTAATTAATTTATATAAAAATAACTTGGCATCATTATAAAAGAATACACAAGATTTGCAATATTACCACTGCATCCTTCTCTCTATGACGTAAACCAAATCTCCGTTATTGTTCAGAAATTAAACAAACGGATTATTACCAACTAATCAAACCGGAATTATTCACTTCCTGCTTTACCATTAAAAGCCTTTATACTAACCTTCCGTTACAACCTTTAAATGGTTGATTGTTCCTTTTTAACTGTTGTCATAGAATTGTTTGAGACACAAATTCCACTATTATATGACTATAAAAATTCTCTATGCTCGTTGGCTAAAAACGTAGGGAATCTTCTTTTATAAAACGTTATATTCACCGCGGCAAAAATCACAGGAGGTTACAATAAGATTAGACAATAGCTAACGTGTACCTATCAATAGTTTTTTTTCCTACGCAACATCAATAACGTAGGTCTGTTACGCCTTCTTTTTTGGTGTTATTTTTAATAAAAATTTTGATACATCTTATTGAATATTTCAACTTATAAAAGTTAAGCAACTGACAAAGCAGATCATATATTTAGTATGAGAGGAGCAGATATATATCTTGAGCAAATACATTAATTGGAGATGGATAAAACAGTAACATATTAAAACAGTTGTTGACTTTTAATATAAGTTGATACAATGATTCATCAATCCCAATGATAAGATATTCACACTCGGCCGTTTGCCTCGGTGAATATCATATCTCTGGGGCTGGTAAATTATTGTAAGTCAATAATTGTATAATATCATACGTGTAAGTGATTCAGTTGTTTGCGAATATACGATGGAACAGTTCCTAATGATACTTAGGTTTGAACAAAAAGGAGATGTGAGGTATACATCAATGATATAGTTACCATACGACGACAAAATTAACCAAAATACATGTATATTCAACAATAAAAAAGTGTCTACAAAATATGTCAAGCTCTAAATCTGAGTCTGTAATAGATGTGAATTAATTTAACAGAAGCAATGAAAGTTGTGCATTAAAACCAACTAATTCTCCAAATAACAAAAAAAACATTAAGATACAATGTATGACATACGACAACTCAAATTTTGATTTTGTCAAAACTTCACTTTCTTTTCAACTACACAGAGGAATTGTGTGACGTGGTTTGAAAAGTTAACATTATAATGAAAAAAATCCTGTATTTTGTTTCCACCTTATCCATCCAGGTGTCTTTGAAATCTGAAATGAAAACGTCGTTACACAAGTTATATATTTGACATGAATTGAAAATATGCAGACTGTATTCTACATTTTTGTGCTTATTCAATATTTAATTTTTACATCATTTTCAAAACATCATTACAATTTCAAATTTAAAATACCAAGCAAAAGAAGGAATGCAGTTTCAATCTCTACATATAAATTAATAAAAATTGGCAAATAAAAAATTGTATGTCAATGCTGATTCACATGATAACAAACTGTAGTTCTATTTATTGGTTAATTTTATGTATTTGTATATCAACATTATGTGTTAGATGTTTGTTAAAAAATCATTCCTGTTAAATTAAAGTATAAATATTTCGTTGTGGCTTTGTATCATTATTTAATCAAACTCCTCCTTTTTACTCCCGTATTAAGGTTGGGTTCGTGTTGATCAGTCTTCAACTTTCTATGAATTTGTCTGTAGACTATGGTGCTACTTCTTCGACTCATATTTTATTATCATATTTGTGATATCATATTTGGTTGAGTTAAAACCAACAAAAGTTAAAGTTAACAAAGCAATTTACAAAAATATACATGAATTTTATAAAACACAAACATTTTGCAAATAAAAATCTACACCTATAATAGGCTATTTAGTTTAATTTATATCCGAAACCTATAGCAATCGTCTATGTGTATTGGAATATGTACGAACAATACATGTACACACTTTCAGCTTGTCAACATAAAGAAAGAACTGCGTGTATCTTTGTTTTAAATTAATTCTCCCAACGTAAAATATGATATCCAATATTGAGTTCGGATCTTGGTATGAACGTTTGGCATATAATAGCCTAGCACACAGTACTAAGTCATCGTCACCAAGATAATAATTCAAAGAACAAGCCAAATCGGTCTAAAATGATGGTATAAATACCTATACAGATCAAATGTAAGTGTTTACATACTTGCAGAAGATTTTATCGAGGAGTGGAACCTTCAATTTCTACATCATAATGCAATACAAAAGAAAAATTGTTTATCTTTTTCTTTTTTGCAAATTCCAAAATTATTGTCATTTGTCAAAGATTTCAACATTTTTAAATATAAACAAAAAGGCCATGCCAATTTGCTGTAATCAAGATGTCAAACACAACCACTGGATATCGTATCAACTGGAATATATGACTGAGTCTAAATAATTTATTAACAAGCAAGCTAAGAAGGAATCGGATTGCTTACAAATGACGATGCTACACCAACAGAAACATATTAAAATCTAAAGATTTGTATCATGATACCGAAAAAAGATATCTGCGAATAAGATTAACGTAATCTATACCTTATGGAAAGGCAAAAAGATATCGACACTAACTAAGGCCGTTTTTGTGCTTAAATATTTGTCTTTTTATACGATAACATTTCATCTTTTTTCCGTCTATTTTTTTTCCAGTAATATAAACCGAACTGCTGATATGTGCATGTATCTAAAAGAACGGATTGCTTCAAATGAAAAAAAACAATAAAATAATTGTTTTATTAAATCATTAAATTTAGCAGCAAGTCCTCACTGTCGACATCTATAAATTTGGTTGTGTGACATCAACATATACAGCTGTCAATTTTAACAAAAATACAAATAAAAATACGACAAATTAGGAAATCTGGCATCATGGTAATTCAGATTTTATTTGTTACTCCAGGCGAATAAACAGCATTTCTAAAATATACATTTAGTTTTGATAAAAAAAACCTCTTTATTTGGGTCATATATTTATATGTCTACTTCGTTTTTTTTTATATTATGTTTTATTTCTTACTTATTGTTAGATTGATTGTGTGATTGCATATCAGTCATTATTCAAGAGCGTAATTGTGATAGGCTCATTTATAAAGGCTGAATAGTGACCTTTAATTTTTTCATATCTTTATCCCATGGTATGTAACGGACAGTTGGCAATCATACGACATCTCCTAGATTTTATTATCAGTAATAGATACAGAGATTACTTTACTCTTCTTTATTGAATAATTGAAATACTTAAGGAAATCAAATAATTTGCAAGAAGTACAACTGTATGCGAAGATAAAATTCGGTGTTTAAATCAGTCAATTCTTATGATGCAAATATCAGATGCTCATTTCTTTCATTGAGTGAGTAGTGAGCCTACAAAACTAACAAATTCTATTTGCAGTACTAGATGCATTTTCATCAGAACCTTGCATAAAGTTTGTAAACCCAAACTAGAACACATCCTTACTTAGCACAAGCTTCATAGTCAACCACATCCTTACGAAAATACAACCGTAATGAATTCAGTTTTAGGTCTACGCGTACTTTGCCTAAGGGAGTTAGAATCTACGATTGAAAAAAGATGATTATTTTACAGACACAAACTCATTTTGGTTACCTCCAAGTCAAGAAAAGAACAGTCTAGAGTAAAACGTTAAGCATAATAACTCGTCACTGATGAAATTGATTATAATATACTTGATTTTCAAATACAATTTTGCAAAACAGATCAATATAACATGCAAAACAAATTAAAATGTTTTATAAAAAGTTATATTGACAGTAAAGAAGATTTCATGGAGAACAAATTGCACGGGGAGTTTTAACATATTTATCCTCGTCGGCATTTAACTCTTATGTTGTTTGTAAGTGGAAATAATTTTTGATGCGATAAAGGTTATAATCTTGCACTTAAATGCAGTCAGAATAGGGAAGTAAATATCATCCATTAGTATGGAATCTGCTTTTAGATAAAACTTGCTGCTGTCACGTAAAATACTTCAGTAGAAAAGTTTATGACCATATGACTGGTACTTAAGTGGACGTTTTATGACAATGAGATTGGTACTTTTCGGGAAAGGCTTATTACTTTAGGATTGGTACCTTTCAGGAAATGTTTTTGACCTTTAGTTTGATACTTCACGAAAAAGGCTTTTAACCTTAGCTTTGGTACGGAAAAGGTTTACGACCTGAGATAAAAGAGACAGTAGTTTGCCGATGATACCATCTCGTTTTTCGATTAAAAACAGACAAATCAACGGAACAGTCACAAACTGAAGGAATCGCATAAACTCTAAAGCAGCGAGAACGGGTGCGTCTGCTACGGATGTATCCCCTGCCATGACAATTTACACTCAGTAATATATCACAATCGGGAATAGGACATTATCGGTAAAATTACAGATAAGACGACTATACTGGTACTAGTATATGAAGATCAAAGATCGCGAAAACATGTCGCATTTGAGTTGAGACACCGAAATGTATCTGTCAACCAATTTGTGATGCTGACAATAAAACTGATGTAGTGTTGATTTCAGTCGTTGTTCCTCATAACTCTGTTGGAGTAGTTTGTGTGTAAGGAGCACACACCAGTTTATGAAGTCCATTTAGTGTGAACATGCACGAGCGTAACGTATTAACTTAGATGTGTAAATGTCATACGATTACTGCTGTGAATTAGGAAGCTGACAACTAGAAATTTGAAATCACCCAGTTTGCCATAGATTCCAGTTAGAAGTCTTTAATTTGTGTCAATATTGAAGAACAGATCATTATATAAAGCAGACCTTTTATTTCGGTAGTTTCCTTAATTTCAAGTTCGTTGGGATATATAAAAAAACATTTCAAAGTTACCAGGCTTATAATTTTGTACGCCAGACGCGCGTCTTATCTTCAAAAGACTCATCGGTGACGTTCGAATTAAGTTTATATACGCAGTCCACAAAGTAATGCCAAGTAATACGTGGTCCACAAAGTGATAAAAAGAAAAACGTGGTCAACAAAGTAATACCAAGAAAAGCGTGGTCCAAAAAGTAATACCATGAAAAGCGTGGTCCACAAAGTTAAACCAAGAAATACATCGTCGACGAAGAAATACAAAGAAATTGTTGGTCCCCAAAGTAATACAACAATATAATATGTGATGCATATGTAATATTGTGCAAAACGAATTCCATATCGGAGGGAAAAGTAGGTGCGTCAGAAAATAAGCAATGCTTAAAAAGAGATAGTTTATCGAAAATAGTATGTGTTATTTGATTGAATAGATTTAACATTCAATATTGCAATTTAAAAAAAAAAACCATTCAATTATGGGACAATTATTCTTTTTTTTCTTCTCAAAGTATATAGTAAAATGAGGCATAAATTTGAGCAACTTAAACAAATATATATATATTTTTACATCTTTACATGGTTTAAGAACATCCGTTGTTCGACGTGCTAGTCAAGTGCGTTTTGTTAAAATATACTTTTTTACTTTTTGGTCTTTTGGAAAATGTTGTTTGTGCTGTATTTAGACCCCTCTACCAAGAAATTTGTTTTGCATGCACACGTATAAAAATTGCGGTTTTTATCCAAAGCAATCATAGGTTTGAACGTTGTTTTCAATTTAGACTTGTTTATATTTTTTCGTTTGGGCTTGTATTATATTTGCCTTCGGGTTTATATGATCCGTTCATCTTATTTCGACTCTTCAAAATTCAAGAGTCTATCCTAAATTGAGGTAAATTATATGGCCTTCAAAATACCGTTTCGATTCCTAACACCACTGAAGAGACATTAATTGTCGAAATCCGGATATGGTGTAATAATTTTTGCACCTTTTGTTTGCGGTATACCATTTTCCGCAAGTTTATTGTTTTCTGTTTGGTATTAAATTAATAGTTAAGATGTATTTTGTTACATCTGGTGATCCGTTTAATTGGCAATCGCCAATGGCAGTCAGCAGGTTTTAAGAACATCCGTTGTTCGACCTGCTAGTCAAATGCGTTTTGTTTAAAATATACTTTTTCACTTTTTTGATCTTTTGGAAAATGTTGTTTGTGCTGTATTTAGACCCCTCTACGAAGAAATTTGTTTTGCATGCACACGTATACAAATTGCGGTTTTTGTCCAACGCAATCATAGGTTTGAACGTTGTTTTCAATTTAGACTTGTTAAATATCTTTACATGTATATATATATAAAATGAGAAGATGTAGTATGATTGCCAATGAGACAACTCTGTACAAGAGACCAAATGACACAGAAATTACTAACTATAGGTCACCGTACGGCCTTCATCAATAAGAAAAGCCCATACCGCATAGCTAGCTATAAAAGGCCCCGAAATGACAAATGTAAAACAATTCAAACAAGAAATTAACGGCCTATTTTATGTACAAAATAATGAACGAAAAACAAATATGTTGCACAGCAACAAACGACAACCACTGAATTAAAGGCTCCTGACTTGGGACAGGCACATACAGAATGTGGCGGGGTTAAACAAGTTTGAGTTTGCCAACCCTCCCCCTAACCTGAGACAGTGGCGTAACAGTACAACTTAACAGAACAAACTTTAAAAATCAGTTGATGAA